GACCCGGCTAGCGGGGATAGTTTTACACCGATGCATTACTATGCATTCAACGCCTTCCTTGCAGCTCTCCAGGTCCTTATGTGCATTTGGTTCTTTTCCATTCTCAGGGTTGCTTGGTCGGTCGTTCGAGGAAAACCAGCAGAAGATGTTAGAAGTGACGAAGAGTGAGTACTCCCTCTTGCTCGGTATATCCTCTTCACAATGTTCTAAACCACTCCCGGTAGACTTCCAGACAGTGATGTCGAGGAAGATGAATACATGCAAGATAAGAAACAGAAATAGAATATCATAGAGGGGATAAAACCGGATTAGAAGTGCTCAATATTTTTTGGTCACAAAAAGAAAAAAGCGATCATTGACGTGGATATTTAAAGACTTGGGTCAACGCGTCGGGACGCTCCCTCCCCTTTCCTTCCTCTACATACCGAAACACCTCCCAAACCTATCCCCTATCCCCCATCATCCATCCGGGCTCCTTACGATACGGAGGGTATTAGAAATATTTATTTACTTTGAAGATAATGGCATCACTCGTAGAATGATGGGCTTTGCCCCATGAAACGATTTTAGCATACTCACTCTGGAATCCAAACGTGGTCGTTCTTTTATTCGGACTCTTTCTTTATTTTGGGATTAGAATTTAAGCTTGTTGCATACGGATATTTGGATCATGCTAAGATAATTCTCCAAGCGTGGAACAGAACAAGTTTACGGTGCTGGCGTCGAGGAGAGAGAAGTGTTACAAAATAGGCAAAGGAGCAAGGTGGTAAGGCCACTTTGCATTTCGCCGCATTACAGTGACGCATCTCTCCCTCCCTCATCTAATCTATCCCCTTTCCGAAACCAGAACCATCTCATTATACTCGGTATTTGACAAAATGTCGGGATGGTTATCCTATTTTACCGGTCAACGAGACACCAAGACCACGACACGGCAAGCGATCGTGGGCCTCCGCGAACAGCTAGCAATGCTGGATAAGAAGGAGGAGCATCTAGAGAAGAAAGTCGAAGACGAGCTCAAGAAAGCAAAGGCAAATGCCATTTCTAACAAGACGGGTAAGTCAGCAGAGAGAAGCGCTCGCATCATAGTAGTGCTTTCATGACCAAGACGACTTGAAAGCGCCAACTCTCTTGATGTTCTGGTGATGCGTTTGGTGCTGATTCCGTATCCGCTTTGTAGCTGCGGCAGCTGCGTTACGCAGAAAGAAGACGTATGAGCAGCAATTGGAGCAATTGGCGGGGACACGTCTGACACTGGAAGCCCAAGTAAATGCAATCGAATCGGCTAATATGAATGCGGAGACGATGTTGGCTATGAAAAGAGGAGCGGGCGCACTTAAGGATATCCACAAGCAACTTAATATCGACAAGGTTGATGCTACCATGGATGAGATTCGTGAAGAGATGGAGAGAACAAAGGAGATTGCTGAAGCTATATCGAATCCTGCGGGAATGGGTGTTGATCTCGATGAGGTAGGTCACTTGCCTCATCCGGTTTTGATATGTAACCTCATAATTTATCATAGGATGCTCTCAAAGATGAATTGGCGGAACTGGAACAAGAAGTACTGGACGAGAAACTCGCTGGGGCGACACATGTACCGGTTCATACACCCGCTGGTCCAAGTCGTGTGGCTGGTAAGTGTACCCCTTTCTCAATTATACCATATCAACATAATAACCTTTCCGTGTAGCCAAACAACAAGCCGTAGAGGACGACGAAGAGGCTCAGCTTCGGGAATTACAGGCATCTCTTGCAATGAACTAACGTCTATGTCTTTGGGGATAGGACTATAGATTGCGTGTACATCATATTGCTATGTATAATCGAGGTTTTCTCCTGCGCATTTTATACCTAATATTTGAATAAATTTTGTTCGGTGTCAGCCTGTAGCGTGACATCCGGAGCATGAAGGAACGTAGCGCAGGCTTTGCCAGGCCGACTGTAGCTTCTCCCCCACGCTTGACCGCAACCGTCAACCAGCCGCGCGAGCTGAACGCGGCTGGAATCTTCAAATATCCCCCAAAAGTATTTGTTTACCGTCTCCTTTTGTCTTCCATGAATTCCCTCAACTATTTGTCGCGTCAGCTAGACGTCCTAGCGACCGCTGGAACACCACCGTCAACTCCAATAAAAGGAACACATCTATTCAATACAGAAGGACCTCCAAGAGCCAAATCTTATAGTAGAATCCTTCCTCGTCGGCCTTCACATCACAATCAACAACCCCACGAATCCACAGAGGGTAATCCTGCTCACGCGAGCAAACGATCTTTTTCTTCTCCTGCTTTATGGTCTTTTAGAAAACCGTCGTTGACCCCTAGCTCTTCGATTCCCCCAACCCCAGCGCCAGCCTTAAAACGAACCACTTCATATGATTTTGGTCAAACCACTAAACCCGAAATTACCCCTCCACTAAATCGCTCGTTTATATTTCACATACTATCTCTGC